GAAGGGGCCACAAGCCAAGGAACACGGGCAGCCTCTAGCAGCTGCAAAAGGCAAGGAAACATTCTCCCCTTACAGCCTCCAGAGGGACACAGCCCCGCCGACACCTTGATTCTAGCCCAGAGGTACCCATTCTGGTTTCTGACCTCCAGAGCTGTAAGCAGATTACTTTGTGTTAAGTCACTAAATCTGTAGTAATTTGTTACGAAAGCAATAGTAAACTAATACAGTATCCAAGTTTTATAATCTTAACTTTAAAACGTACAAGTCTCACTTCTCTGTCAGATGTAAGTTCCTCCAGACCAGTAATCAACCTCTGTGCTTGACACACAGTATGCATAATAAATGTTTATTGACTTTGAACCTCCCTGTATATCAAATCATCTCCACCATTTCTTTGGAGAGTCATTTACCATTCTTCAATAAGTCTCCACTCACCTGGGTCATGCTACATAGAGAAGCATCGTAACCAATGCCTGCTGTTGTGAACTTCTTAGTGACTCCTGATTGGGAGGGTGGGCATGCTCATTTTAACCAGAGTTGATTTTCTCTGGCCCAAGAGTTTTAATACATGAGCCTGTGTCTCCTGTTCAAGAGTTCCATGAGCTTCTTGCGCCCGAGGTTCAACTGCTCTAGAGGAAGACTCCTTGTCTGTCAGAAAAACCCCACCCTCAGTTGAGATATTTTTTTATGAAATAGACTCATATTTTAATGCATACTACCCCAAACAGTCTCAAAATTTGGTGAGAATCTATAAAAAACATTTTCTTATGATGCAGAAAACAGACCTACAGACCAACTACTTATCTTTATAGATTTGCATTCATTTCCCTCCCAGTCTTTAGGTGAAGCCAACAAAATTGAAGACTTAGAATGAGAGGAGTTTTAAATGTGTTACACGCTGCTGTTTGGGATGTAGCATGTGTTATTTATCCATTGCAGCTTAATTTAGCAGCTTAAAACAACAAACATTTACTATGTCATAATTTCTGTTGGTTAGGAATCCAGACTCAGCTTAGCTGGGTGGTTCTGACTCAGGGCCTCTTAGGAGCCTGCAATCAAGTTGTGAGTGAAGGCTGGGGTCATCTCAGGGCTTGACAGATGGAGAATATACTTCCATCTTCTTTTGTGGCTGTTGGCTGGTTTCAAAAATCTGTTCCAAGCTCACTCACATGGGCCTTGTCACATTGGCTGCCTCACAGTGTGGCAGTTGCTTCTCCCAGAGTAAGGCACCATGCTAAGAGAAGCCACAGACTTTTTAAAAATCTAATTTTGGAATTCGTATATCATCACTTCTGTTGTATTCTGTTAGAAGCAAGCCAGTAAGTCCAGTTCATACTCAAGGGGAGGGGATTCCATGAAGGCATTAACACCAGGGAGTGAGGATCATTGGGAGCCATCTTAGAAGCTGCCTACCACACATATAAATTAGTGAGTTCATTAGTCTATCAGAGACTAGATAATTTTATATTATTCCTAACTGAAATTAAGTTCAGTAATATCAGAAATTTTATTTTAAAAAATCTGCAAATAAATTTCCCATATTAGAAGATATAAAATTAAGTGGAAGCCTTTTAATTTTCAGACAGGAAATTCAGAAGGTACAGAATAATCAACACAATTTACTGTTTTATCATACTCCCTCCAGATGATCCATTTCTAACTTCCTATTCCAATTCTTCCTTTCACTTTTTACTTATTCTTCATATTCTAAAAATAATGAAGGGCCAGCAGTGTGGTACATTGGTTGAGTCAGTTCGGATTCCACATGAGGGCCAGTGACACTGCCCTCTACAGCTAAGATGGTGAACAACAGCTCGACCTGGAGCTGGGCTGCCGTGAGTTGCTGGCGAAGGCATAGGCTGCAGCCCCTGCTGCGTAGGCTGCCATGAGCTACCGTGAGTGACTGGCAGTCAGTGTGTGCAGCCGGCAGCTGGCGTGAGCTGCCTGCCATGAGCCGCCGCGAGCCTCCATGAGCGGCCTTGAGCGGCCGTCCAGTGGCCGGCGACCGATTGCCTCACCCGGGAAGAGCGCAATGATCACAATACCAACATGGGCCAGCGAAGCAACGTTCTCCACAACTAGACCGAAGAACAAAAGGACAGCCAATTGTCTGTTCCCCTCCCCCAATTCCCCAATAAAAAAATCTTTAAAAGTAAAAATAAATAAAAAATAAAATAAAATAATCAAAAGCAGCTTATAGAGATATGTAAAATGTTATAATAATTGCAATTAAACAAAAATGAAAGGAAAGACAGATAGAAAACTAAGAAGTAAAACTGCTACACAAAAAAAGCTCATAGTCTGGTGAAAACGGATGACCTAACAAAGATTCAGGGCTATGTGACTGAATAAGTTGATATTAAGAAAATAAAAAGGCAGTCCAAGACTGGGAAAAAATACTTAAAAGATGTATCTAATGAAAGTCTGAAGTCTAGAATATAGAAAGAACTCTTATAACTCCATAATAATGAGACAACCTAGTTTTTAAAAATTTGAACAAATGTTTTATCAAAGATATATTAATGACAAATAATACAAAATAAAACCCCAGTGAGATATTTGCACTGCCACTCAAATGGCTAAAATTAAAGACTGACAATACTTAGTGTCAGCAAGAATGGAGCACAACTGGAGCTCTGAGTTCACCTTTTTTATAGTTAAACACATTCTTACCATACAACCCAGCAATCCCACTCCTAGGTATTTTTACTAAAGAGAAATTCAACTATGTGTACACAAAGACCAGTGCATGAATATTCATAGAAGCTTCATTTATAATAGCCCAAAACTAGAAACAGTTTTGGTATTATATTGTAATATAATCATATACATACAATGGACCTAGCAATAAAAATGAATGAACCACTGATAAATAGAACAATATGGGTAAATCACAGAGGCATTATACTAAGTGAACGAAGCTAGCCTCCAAAGGCAACATAACGTTTGATTTCATTGTATGAAATTCTGAAAAAGGCAAAACTGGAGTGACAGAAAGCCTGTCAGCGGTAATTAGCATTAGAAGAAGGTAAGCGAAGGGGCAAGAGGGAACTTTTTGGGGGTGATGGAAATGTTCTGCATCTTAACTGTGGTTATGACTATATGTTTTTTAAAAATTCAAACTACAATTAAAATGGATAAATTTCGTTATATGTAAATTATATCTAAACACAGCTGAATTAAAACCAAAATATCCTCTTTATACACACAAATCCAGTTAAGTGGTTTTCTAATCAATTACATTTGAAGTGGTTTTTTTCTTAATATATAAATAAATCTGAGCTCCCTTGGGGTAGGTTTATGTGTACAACCACTGCAGAATTCAAAAGTAAAGCTCCTTCTGCCTGGGACTACTGAAGGAAGACAAATTTTGAGCTTCCTCGTGATGACATCAGAAGATAGGAATGTAGAATTAGAAGCAGGAAGGGTGATATAAGGAGGATGAAACTGAGATGGAGAAGTCTAAAAGGAGGGCAGACCCCTGGAGGGCTCCGGTGGACCTCAGGGAAAAAGATTGCCTTGGTAAAGTGAGCTCCAGTGGCGATGTGTCTCAAGTTCTGGAATGAGCAATAAGGAATTGACCAGTGAGTGGGTCAGTGACTGCAACTGAAACGAAGTTGAGAAACCACTGTGATAAGGCAACAAAATTTTTAGTTTCTTGAATGGGACTTGGGGTGAATGGGATAACATAAGATTAAGAGCACGGATATTCATACATCACATATTATATAATAGGGCCTGAAACATGATTATTGCTATATGTGTTCTTTATGTAGAATACATGTTTGTTGACTTTCTATGAGAGACATTTAATAATGGAATAATAGGGAGTGGCATTCATACATGAGTTAAGACAGAAGGGAGGGGAAATTGACATTCAAATATTATATGGGCCAGATACTGTGCTTTATGCTTTCAGATTCCATGATTTAATCTCAACAGTGATATGCAATATTATCCCCACTTTACAGCTATGGAAATTTAGGCTCAGAAAGAGAGGCTTGGGTTCTAATTAATTCAGATACCACAAACACAGAAGGTGCCCCAAAGGTTGGTGAGGTGACTACTGAGTTAAGACCAAGGAGTCGTCATGCATCAGGGGTACGTGCCCACAAGCCACTCGAAACTAGCAAATTCCTTCAGGAGGGTGGTGGGATCAGGATTCTGCATTTCTAACCTCATTAGTTGGTTGGTAATTCTAAAAACGTGTGAGAACCACTATCTTAAGACTCAGAAGATATTTTTACTGTGTGGCGATTTTTAGTATTTAGAGTTGTTAGAAATAAAAGTTAGCCCCATAGACATGATTTGTAGCTTTGTCTATTAAAATAATATATCTTTAGTATTCATAACATAGCCATAGTTCTCAATGTATATTTTATAAATAAGAGTTAAAAAAACAAACAAGCCAACATTCTTGATTAGTCTTCACAAGAATTTATACTGTTGACTGACTGTCTGAGGTGGCCCTGGAAACATTATTTTTCAGTCCTTTTTTTTTTTGCCATATCCCTTAGCTTATGCTACCTGAGTTGTGTTACTTTGTGTTTTTATCATTTTTTACAGTAAGGGATAAAGGTGTATCATTAATCACAAGTGAATTATAGTGGATAACAAATAGAACAGCTTTTTTATTCATGAATAGTGGGTCTTTATGAGATAATTCTGTTGCCTATACATTGTATTCATGAATACTGGGTCATTATGAGATAATTCTATTCTTCTAAAATCTTCTTTTATCTCTTTAACAAGCATATTAGCGCAATAATTTTGTAAAATTAGTTTCAGGTGTACAAAACAATGTAATAGTTAGATATTCACACCACTCACAGAGTGATAACCTTCCTCCCCCAATCTACTACCCCTCTGACATCGTATATAGCTGTTACAATTCCACTGACTCTATTCCCAATGTCAAAAATTCTTTGTAGTATTTAGCTGCCTGCTTCTTATTTAAATTCCAACACTTACTCTTACATGATTATATGTATTTTCAACAGTGATTCTTTTACTGCACACCGAGACAGTATGCGACAGATGATGAGAAGTTTTTCTGAACCTTTTGGAAGAGACTTGCTCAGCATCTCTGATGGTAGAGGAAGAGCTCATAATCATACAGGACTGTATGATGGTGAAAATTCCTTGACTGTAAGTTCTTTATTTTAAAGTTAGTGAGAAGGTCCTGTGGAAATTTGAAGAAAAGTATTACAGAAGAATATGTCTATTATGATAAGATATGACTAATTCTTACATTATAGAAATAACTATTCTATAAAGGAAGGGGCCTGTTGAAAAGCCAAATCCTTTAACAATCAATTGTTAGCTGTATAGAATTCCACTGGGCTACCAAAACTTTTAGGGCTGTAGGGTTACATATTATAGCATTGTTGTTTCATATGTATATATATGAGTATGGTTTCTTCTCACCTTAGAATTGCCTCCCATGTTTTAAATTAGAACAGTCAAAGAAATATCCTTACTGTGCCATACAGCACTTTTTTATTTCCACTTTAAAATAGCAGCCAAAGCAATAGGACAATACTTTATTGGACCAGAAAAAAACCCAATCATCCGTATGGCTACCGTGGACCTTCAAAACTTAGATTAACTTTTAACTGTATTCAAAAGCCTTGTATAACTGCAATATATTTTCATAAGTCTTATCTGAGAGCAAAGCTAGAAGGTTACATACTCAATTCAAAAAAAAAAAAAACAAACCCTCAGGATATTTATATATCTTAACTATTTTCCGTTTATTTTATTTCTGTTGCTTTTTCAGCCTCAGGAATGGCAGTGCTAGAATAACAAATCCAAAGGAGTTTCTATAAAGATGAATCTTTGCAATTGAAATGTAGATATTTGGAACTCAATAAACATTGAATTGGTCAACTGGGAAACTTCCAGAAAAACATTCTCATATTTTCTGTTTCCAATCATCTTAAATAGAGTAAAATATTTTAATACTCCTAAGAATTTTGATGCGTAGAATTACATTTGCCATTTAAATGAAAGCAATCTTCATATTCTTTTTCATATGCATATTATTCCAATATATATTATTCACATTCCAATTAATTTTATTTGAATTAGTGAATAGTGGTCTCATTTGTTAATATGTGTATTGGGTTGTCGGAAAAGTCATGATGCATTTTTGCAACGAAAAACAGAAAAATACGTCATGACTTTTCCGACAACCCAATAGTTATATATTACTTTTAGGGCTATCAATTCCCATAAAAGTCTAAAATTAAGATCAAAGGAAGAATTACCAGAAAGGGCAGAAAAATCATATGTGGCGTCTGAAATTTTATTTTTCACATGAGCATTGAAATACTTTGCATATCTGCTATAATCACAGCATGGAAAAAGTAGGGCTGTATATAGTGCTTTGTATTCATGTGCATGAATGAGCTACCTGTAGCTTTTGCAAAAGAAGCGAGAAGTAACAGTTTTATTCACTTATAAATATAGAAAGGAGACCTGTTTATAATTCAGTTGTAAGTTCTTATTGATGTCTATCCACATCAGCTGTAACTACTGGTCATTCATTGGAAGTAGAATTAAATATTTCTTTCCTGGGCACTTGTGTTTCAAATAGCTGAATGTTTAATGAGCTGAAATGAGAAATATATAACCAAATAAAGGTAAATTTCTGTGAAACTATAGTTTGTAAGATTTATAATTTAGAACTATTTGCATTTAGCTTGCTGCATATTTGCCTTGCCAACGTGGCTTTAAATCAAGTTTTTGAGCACAACAACAAGAAAAACACAGATGAAGTAATATGGTTGCATAACTGTGGTGATTGAATAAGGAAAGTCAAGTACAAAAACAATTCTGAATATAAAGGAAGGCCAAGACCAACAGTTGAATGAAAAATTAAAACAGTTGCTACCTTATCCAATTTATGGTGGCATAAACTAACTTTTGACTAAGATTATGAATCATTTATTAGTGTAGGCTCAAGTCGGTAGCTAGCATTAACCAATAGAACTTTCTGGATGATAGAAATGTTCTAAATCTGCCCTATCCTGTATGGTAGCCACTAACCACATATGGTTATCGAACACTTGAAATGTGCCTGGTGCTGTTGAGGAACTGAATTTTTAATTTAATTGTAATTATTTTAAATTTAATTTCAAAAGCCACATGTGGCTAATGGCTACCTTAGGGAGGACACAATGATAGACATTCAACTAGACTCCAAAGCATTTAAACTTTTTTTAACCAATGCTAAGTAAAGAGCACTAATCACCTATGTCTGAACCTGTCATCTTATTTCTCATTTAATCATAATCACTTTAAGCATTTTTCTCAAGAAAAACTGTAGTACTCATCTACCTTTTAAATAACAGTAAATGGTGATTATCAGATTTAGACCAACCCATTTCATAAAACCTTGAGTTTTATAGCTTTTTAGATAGTACATATTGCTTGGTAGTATTTACTTGCCTCATATCTAAAATCAACTAGTATACATTTTTCTTTAATTGCATTATATTGTATCAACTGTCTTAGAAAGCTAATGCCAAAGTATTTTTTTCTCGTTCAAACTATGAAAACCCTTTGCCAACCAAGAGTATTAAGCGTTGTCCTAGGGCAGTTGAAGGGCAGTAGTAACTTTTTAAGTGTAGGAATTTCATCCAGTTACAGCACCTTTCCAAGGAACATTCAGCATCTCTTTTAGCCAAAACTCTATTTTCTGTGCATTTATAACTTATACTGATGAGATCTGGCTCTCCTTTTCCCCCTACAGTGTGATACGTTTGACATGTTTATGTCTAAGTATGAAAAACTTATGTAATAGCAAAAAATAATTAATTATTAAAAGAAAACAAAAATAAATGAACCACAATAGCAACAAAAGACCTCTATCCCAACCTGACTTTTGTAAGTCAGTATTTTATAACTGAAATTGAAGGTAGAAACAAAAATTCAGAAGATGTAAAAAGAGTGCTGCTGGGCCGCCCGAGTGGTGCCTTGGTTAAGAGTTGGCTTCGGACGCCAGCTCTGAGCAGCAGGGCCCTGGTTCAGATCCCACTTTAGGGCCAGTAACACTGTGCCCTCTACAGCGAAGATGGTGAACAACATGCTCCACCTGGAGCTGGGCGGCCATGAGTCGCTGACAATGGCATAGGCTGCAGTAGAGCTGCAGTGGGCTCCCGTAAGCTACCGTGAGTGACCGGCAGCTGGCGTGAGCTGCCAAGAGCTGCCGTGAGCAGCCATCCAGAGGCCAGCGACCAATCTGCCTCACCTGGGAAGAGCGCAATGATCATAATACCAACATGACCCAGTGAAGCAATGTCCTCCACAACTAGACTGAAGAACTAAAGGACAGCAACTTGTCTGTTCCCCTTCCCCAATTCCCCAACGCTGTTCCCTCCTGCAATTCCCCAATAAAATCTTTTTTTTTTTTAAGATTTTTTATTGGGGAATTGGGGGGATGGGAACACTGCTGGGGGATTGGGGGAAGGGGAACAGACAAGTTGCTGTTGTTTTGTTCTTCAATCTAGTTGTGGAGGACGTTGCTTCACTGGCCCAAGTTGGCACCATCATTGCGCTCTTCCCGGGCGAGGCAGNTTGGCACCATCATTGCGCTCTTCCCGGGCGAGGCAGATCAGTCACCGGCTTCTGGACGGCCGCTCACTGCGGCTGCTGGCCGCTCACGCTGGCCACTAGCTACACATGGTAGCCCATGGCAACCCACTGCCACAGGGGCTGCAGTCCACGCTGTCACCGGTGACCCACAGCAACCCAGCTCCAGGCTGAGCCGTTGTTCAGCATCTTTGCTGTAGAGGGCAGCGTCACTGGCCCTCACATGTGAGATCCGAACCGGGGCCCTCCGGCGTCCCAAGCCAGTTCTTAACCACCGCACCACTCGGCCGGCCCAATAAAATCTTTTAAAAAAAAGAGTGCTGCTAAGTCAAAAAGAGCAGAGCCAAGAAAACAGTAGGCTTTTTGAGCATGCTAGCTGTCTTAGTCTTTTTGAACTTTTAATAAAAAATTATACAAAGCTTTTCTCTTTTTGAAGTTATATTTTCAAATGAGTGTTTTGATTAAACTGTGAACTGTTATGCTGATGCTTTTAAGCATAGTTGATGAAAATCTATATTTCAAATAGACACCTTCGTCCTTTTTTTCTTTATTTTTGGCCCATTCTTGACATTTCTCATCTTTATCAGCCATATTATGAGGGAAAACAGAGACTACTACAAAAGTAGGAGAAGCATCAGCTGTGCCCTGTTCTTGTGTTTGTATTATTAGCATTTTCTTCAGTTCATGATTTCTTGATGGGGCTGTTTTTAAACCATTTGTCCATTTGGGGAGGATGTTTTGTTTAAAACTACATAATTTAACCTTTAAATTTATTGAATTAGGCAATTTATAATTCAAGATGTGACATATGAGCATCTGACATTTAGGTGCCAGAGTCACTAAAAAGAAATAGAAAGAGGAATTTTATTGGTGCATCCAATACACTTTGGAGATTACTGTTCTAGATACACAGTATAAGTATATATCATATCTGATACATAATTTTTATTGTAAGCACACAGTTTTCTCTTTTTCAAAATTACTTACACAGGGAGAAAATAATCACTGAATGATAAAAATATAGTATATACCTTTTACCTAGAAATTCAAAATTTATTTTCAACATTTGAAACTTCCAAGTAATGGAAGTTTTTAATTTGTGTGTCTAAAAATTTATTTTTATTCATCTATACCCATTGAGTATATTAATCATGACTATTATACTTAACATTCTTTTGTCTATCAAAAACAATATTTTTAAATCTCTGTGTGATCCTTTCTGAAGTCTATATTTTTTATTACATAAATTAGTTCTTAGAAGGTATTTATTAATTTTTTTGTCCAATATCTCTACTAATCTTTTGAAATGTTATTAATATAGATAAGTTTTTAAATCAGTTACAGGCAAGATTAACTGATCTTTTAAAAATATGGACTAGCTGAGCAAAGGAAAGATGATATAATCTTAATCATTGTACATTATGTTTTAATTAATTTTGGTGTGATTTGTATTACCTTTGAGAAATGTTTGTCTCAATCCATAGCAAATACTTCTTCTTTCAACTACCTTTAATAAATACTAGAGTAGTCATATTTAAAAGTGATATATGGCCTCCCTATTTGCCTTCCAGTCTCCTGTCAGGCTCTACAATGAATATTAAGCAGATAATTTAAAAAAATATATGTTGAGTTCTTTTTGATTAAAAGGTTCTGTAATTTTGTTAGCTCTGAACCATGCAAATATACAGTGCATTTCTTTGTTTTTCAGGAATTAGCATGTAATAAATATCATAACCAAAATTAATTGGATTTGTTTTTCTAGGCAATGAATTCTTTTGTGCCTTTTGGCAGTGTTGGTGCTATGGTTCGTATCATGAGACGCAAATCATTTAAGCAGTGTTTTGTGACAAATATTTGTTTTTCATTAACTCGAGCAAGCTGAATTGGCATGCATCTCACTTTTATAATGGCTTTTTAGTGTTTATACTGAATTTAAAAAAACTGTTTCATTTCTTAATTTGTCTTAGGCATGTGTTTTCTGAACTAAGTCATATCGACATATATCCAATCAGTATTCAAAAAGAAAAAGTACATTCTAATAGGTGAATATTCACTTGATTTGCAAAAGGGACCCCCATAGTTGTGACTGAAAGCTGGAAACCTCCACGTGCTTATGACTTTCCAAAAGGTAAAAAAGCACCAAACCGTAGATAGACAAGCACATTGGGCAAAGCTCAGATTGGCTGCTTTCTCTAGGTCTCTCTTGCCAGTTTGCTCATGCCGCTTTACAGTTACAACACAGAGTTTCAGTTAAAATAATAGGATGTTGGGCGTGCTGTGGGAGCGCAGACAGAAAAAGGGCTGTAACCAGACCTTTTGGGGTTTGGGGTGGAGGTCAATCAGACAGGACTTCCTGAACCTTGAGAATCAATAGGAGTTAGCCAGGAAAAGCAGGAAGTGGAGAAGAGGAGTGCTCAACCCAGAGGAAGCAGCAAGTAGAAAGACCTGGAGACTAGGGAGCACGAAGATATTTAGGATCACTTGTCCCTAGAGCACGAGTTGGAGAGTAGATGTAGATGACGATGGAGAGGTAACCAGGAACTTCTTTCAGCCCCAGTAAGGACTGTGGACCTTTATCATAAAAGCAAGGGAAGATGTTGATGAGTTTTCATCAAAATAGAAATAGAGTCAGGTTCTCATTTTTGAGAGATCATGTCTGCAGTGGGGAGAGAGATTAGAAGGGACCATAGTGGAGGCAGGGAGGCCAAGAGGCTGTTCAAGTGTTGTGAGGAGTGTTCATGAATGCTTCTACTTGGCAATGGTTGTGGTGATAAAGATAAATACGCTCATTTGAGAGAGAGAGAGAGGTGAATAGATAGAACTGGGTCATTGGCTGGGTTGAAGGAGCAATAAAGAAAGAGGAGGAAAGTATTATGCCCATTTTCCTGGCATGAGGAATTAGGTAGATGGGAATGCCACTGAGCAAAGGATCAGAGCATAGATGCAGTGCAGATTCTAGGGCAGGGATGGTCAAAAGGATCATTTCAGTTTGGGGTGTTTTGTATTTGAGGTGTTTGTGTGTTGTCCAATTGGTAAATAATTTATCTGGTAATAAATTTATCTGGCAAATAGTTGGATATATGGTTTTGAGTTGAGCTAGAGAGAATTTGTTCATTCATTCAGCAATATTTATTGAGCCCCGCTATGTGCCAGGAATTATTTTTAAAGTATTGGGAGTATAGTAGTGAATAAGACAGAGAAGATAGCCCTGACTTTACAGAGATGATTTTTACAGAGTGGGAACACAGACAGTAAACAACAGAATAATCAGATAGTCCAAATACTTGAAAGTAGGCTGAAGGAGATGAAGCAGAGTAATGATATAGTGACAGGTGGAAGGTGAAGCAGAGATTAGTTTAGATAGGTGGCCTTTCTGAGGAGGCGATACTTGAATGATGAAAAGAAAGTACTTATGCTAAGAATGAGGGAAAAACTTTTGAGGCAGAGAGAAGAGCATTGTACCAGGTTCCTGAAGGCCTTAAGAGCTCACTGGGATCAGCTTTTATTTGAACCCCCACTTTCTGTCACTCAAAGGTGTTGGGCCACCCACAGCAGGTACACATCCATGGTTTGATGGCTGATTTGACCGTGAATTGAAAATAGGACAGAATATACCCAAACATCTGACCTTTTCCTCCGCCTCCTCCTCATCCTCCTCCCCCTCCTCTTCCTCCCCTTCC